TCCCTCACGTGGAACTGTATCGTCGGTGTAATCAATATCATCACGATGCTCCCAAGGACCAAGCGAGAGAATGTTATCAGAGTCGGCAGTAGTGCGCTCAGGTATGAAGTTCAAAACGAAAACACCGTTTTGCTCAACTGCCGTGCCGAGTTTCTTGTCGCCGTACTTCAGAGTGAATTTCCCAGGTTCACCGAGAAGTGTAATCCCGTTCTTCATAAGCTGTGCAGATGACATGAGGTTGAAGCCAAGCCGAGGGACCAGAAGGACTTCGTTCAGGTGAAGACTGAAGTCTTCTTCAACTGAGTCCAGAACAATACTTCCCATCCAGTGAGCTGTAAGTCGTTGGTTATTGGCGACCGTGACGACAACGGGATTCTCCAGACGGCGTTGATTCACGATGAAACGCGTCTCTGACGAACACATGTGCTGACCGCAGCAACTGTCGAGGTACCAAGTATTGGGACCTGCAATGGTATGTGCAAGATTTGCATAGACCTCAGGTGGAATCGGTGTGTTGAGTTCGTTGTTGAACCGGTTGTGAATCCGCTCTTCAGCATCAGGATCATAAACCGTTGACACTGATGTCATGCAATTAATAACTGCTTTTGTTTGTGTCTTGGCAGGTGCAGTAGTCGGCTTCGCAGAGTTCAGCTTCGCAGTATTCTGCTTCTCAGCGTCCGGCTTCTCTGCTTCCGGCTTCTCTGCTTCACTTGAAGAATCTTTATTATGTTTCGAAGCAGACCGCTTCCAAGATGGTTTGTCTTTCGACCAGCAGGTATCAATAGTGTGTCCTGGTTTTCGACAAAAAGAACAAACGGGCTTGTGACGTGGATTAGAATAAAAACTGACTGTATTGTTTACCATCTTTTTCCCTCCTCGAGCGTTGTGCAGATCCATATCCTGCTGCTCGGCGATGAGAGCGGCACAGAGTGCCCCCTCGGACAACTGTGCTTGCATCCGAAGTATAGAGCGACACTGTCGCCATTCTGGTCCAAGACCCGCAAGTAGCACCGTGTGGAACGTAGCGTCGGGGAAGTACCCTCCACACTTCTGAAGTTGATCGCGCAGATTTCGAGCGCGGTTAATATACTGCGTCACCTTCTCGCCGTTTATCATCTGTATATTTGACAGCTGCGTCAAAATTTTACTCTGGTTGACAGTATCTTTTGCCATGTGAACCCCTTGCAGGTATAACCAAGCTGCTTCAGCGGGAGCGACACTGTTACGAAAAGAACGAATTCCGAGCTGTTCAGTCGGAGTCAGATTACGAACGAGAACTGTGTATGCAGTCAGCGACGCCGATCGAAAAGTGGCTTGTTGAAGTGGTGACCCGTGTGATGGAAATGGTGCTGTGCCATCATACAGCTGCCAAAACCCCGCGGTCTGAACAAGAAGCTCAAACTCAAAGCTCCAGGTATAAAAATCTTGACCGTTAAAAGGCGTTGTCGTTTTGATTTTTGTAGGATTTGCAGAAGCAGGAATATAACTTCCGGTACCGTCAGCTGATTGTAGCTGATAGAGTGATGGCGCTTGTGACCCTTGTTGTGTTTGTTGTCCTTGTCCAGCATGACCAAAGGAGAAAGAGTTGTTCGACCCATCACTTCCTTGTGGCATCTGACCACGCTGATAACTGGAGCCATCAATGCTCATCGGAGTTGGAAACATCTGGTTAAGCGACAAGACGGCAGCATTAACACGTTGTTGAAGATTTGCTGGTTGGTAAGCACCTTGATATTGGTAAGGTCCAGTCGGAACGAAGTTATACTGTTGTCCCGGTTGACTTGAAGAACCAGGGACTGCAGCTGCAGCTGTTGAGGCTGCTGTTGCTGCTATCGCGGCGGCTGCTGTCGATGATGCCGCTGCTGTAGTTGTGTGTACGGGCTGACTGCTCAATGGCATGCCGTACATCGGTTGTTGCTGATATTGTTGTTGTTGTTGTTGTTGTTGTTGTTGCTGCAGATGTGAATTATCAGCAGCTGGAGACGCAGTTGGGCATGATGGGCTCGTAACAGAAGAGCCATTGTTGGACCTTGGAGATCCAGACATAGTTGTAGAATAGGCAGATGGAAGCTGTTTTAATCCTAAGTTGCTCTCATACCATGTTAGAATCTGAACTGTTTGAATAGGATCGTAGTCTTAGGATAGTAGCTTCCTGTAGCAGTGGAAGTCTTTTATATGAGTGACTTGTAACAGGATCAAAGGTCTCTGAAATCAAGTATATTATAAAATGACAAGCATACAGAATATATAACTAGACTAAAGTACCTGTTCGCCTACTGTGCTGTATTTATTCGCGCTATTCCTGTTCTGAAAAGGTACGTGACTATTCGCGATACCTACAGCTACTGATGACGTCATCCTAAGGCGCGTAGCGCTTTGCTGACGTCAGTCTATCGGTACTTTTACTGTACTAACTATACGAATTCCTTGAAGTGCATAAGTCTCGACATTATCTCAACAGCTTGAACGTAGGGTTGATTCAAAATATTCAGGATCACTGCAGTGGGTAGCATCTGTTTGTCCATTTGCACTAATAGCCAAGCGTGTTATATACAGCAGCTCATTGGGGCATCGAACATATACGGTAACATAGTCGCTCTTAAGAGCGTACGTTTTCAGTTTAGGAGGCACCCAATTTTGCGCTGTTCTTTTTTGGGGCACCAAATTGTCCATTGTGGCTATAGGCTCGGAATCTTTCGAACGAGTTCTTTTAGTAAGGCTACGGCCAGGCTGGCAGCCAGACCTGATAACGTGCCCCGAGTTCCAACAAAATCGCCAAGCCTCCATAGCCATCGAGCTGCAGGCTACTGAACCGTGCAAAGTCATTCGGAAACCCACTAAACCGTACTTCTTTAGCAGTCACATCACCCACCACCAAACCTCACATGAACTTTCACAGCAGCCAAGCCACCAGCAAATCGGACACCGCCAACCGAACCGCTTTCCAAGCTGGCTCGTCGTTCCCGCCATTTGTTGTGGCAGCCTTGCCATTTCTGGCCATTTCAGCAGGTATTGGGTTGAGAGCACTACTACGTAGCAGACAGGTAGATCATTTCAATCTTGCTCCCCTATTTCAACTCTGTTTCCTAACCTCTCTTGTTCTCGACGATTATTCATCTCTGCTGGTTACCGTATAGTTGTTGAAACCCACCATTTCCGTTTCCCACACGATGAGGAACCTTTTAGTAGTTGCCACTATATTTATGTTCGTCTCCGTATTCTGCGGCGTAGCCTTCGCTTACGATTGTTCGACGCCATGTCAAAACCCCACGAACACGTCATACGTCGTTCCTGCCTGCACCCAAGCGTGCAACGTACGTCTCTTCTCTGTCCTCGTTATTTCATATCTGTTCGTGCTTTATCTCGACCAACACATACTCCTGACATTTGCTAAAAAACCACCCCATGTACTTATCCCACAATCTCCTTCGACGTTTTCGTATTCTCTGTTCATGCTTTTCATCGTTGTTAATGCGATTGGCTTCCAAAATAAGTCAATGCCAATTCCTGTATTTCCTTCTCTTATCCCACCTTTTCCTGCCTTTTCGCCCGCCTCTATTTATTCTTCGAAAACGCAATGTCGCGCACGTTACGCATTTTAACCACTACGGGCCATCGCACGACACTCAAACTGTGTAACATTGCGCTGCATTGCCACTGCAGAACTGCGTGGCGTTGACCTATAGTGGTTGTGGTACTTATTTCCAGCCCTTCTGGGTCGGTGTGGCCAATGTTACTTCTGGCCAAACCGGTACGTCCTCTTGGACTCTCTGATCCTGCCCATCTCACTCCGTCCCTATCTTTCCCCATCCTCCATCCCCACCCTTCCTTCCCCCTTTCCCCCACCGCCCCACCCCCCCAACCCCTGTCCTTCACCCGTCCCTCCCTCTCTCTCTCTCTCTCTCTCTCTCTCTCTCTCCCTCTCTCTCTCCCTCTCACTCTCCCTCTCACTCTCTCACTCTCTCCCTCTCACTCTCCCTCTCCCTCTCACTCTCTCACTCTCACTCTCTCACTCTCACTCTCACTCTCACTCTCTCATTCTCTCATTCTCTCATTCTCTCATTCTCTCTCTCTCTCTCTCTCTCACTCTCTCACTCACTCTCTCACTCCATGTTTCGTACGACCAATGTTTCGTGAAACAATCCACTCAATAACAGCTCTTCTTGTTTTTTTTTTTACCTGTACGAACGGATCTTTCACCATCTTTCGCTCACTCTCTTAACGCCTCTGAATACCCCATTGATGTTGTTTACAGCACACACTTACTGTATGGAATATTTACAACATGCACCGAACATTTTACATGCGCACAAGCACACACATTATCTATGCTTACCGTTTTTTTGTCCCACCGTTTCCGTTTTTGTTGCACACGCCAGCTCAAATGTACCAGGGAGCTACCTGCAGTCAGTCCTGCAGTAGTGGTCTGGAGTGGTGGGCCTGGCTGCTCATTAGCTTCGCTATTCTCTTCGTGTGCATTGGCATTGGTCTGTGCCTCTACTCATGCCTGGAGAAGAGGGGCTGATGGAGATGCACGGGGAAGTGGAGTTGCTGCTGCATTCTGGTTGAGACCAGTAAGAAGTCTTGGAAATCAAACAAGCCTGATGCTGCTGCTTGCTGAGAACATGTGTCCGAGCACATGTTTGTGCCAGAGAAACCCATAGAAACTTGGTAGTAATGTTCTGGCCAATGCTAATATGCCGCTGTTTAAAATTCAATAGTTGACATTGTTCTGGGTTAGATGGCGAAAGGCCATATTGCAATGAGATAAACCTTATTTTAGGATAGAAATATCATCTTTTGAGAAACGCACCGTTGAATCGAATCAGCTACATCAGTGTTCGCTTCAAACAGCTGAAGCCTGCCTTTGCCTCATCGGGATTGCCATTTCGTACAGAAACTCATCACCGCTACCGTGCTGCCAGCGTTCAGTAGACAGATTCGCTGCTGTGCGTCTGTTGACTCACTTTCAGCTCTCTGTTTGCTCCAAGTTTCCAGCCATGGCGGCTTTCAACGAGGACGATATATTCGACGACGACGGCGGAATCGGCGACGAGCTCGCGTTCATGAGCGCGGACGATATCATTCGCCGATCTAGGTTGCTCGATAACGAGATTCGCGTGCTCAAGGTGGGATGCGAGAGGCCTTCGAGTTCGTCTTGATAGCTCTTAGAGTGATTTGCTTGGCCGTCTCGAGTGCCGGGTAACGATCGACGTATCCTGATTGCAGGATGCGAGTGGAATTCGAAACCTTGGAACGTTTTGCGCAGCCATAGTGTGGAATAGGTTGTTACTCTGCTAGGGTCGATCGTTTCTCAGTACGGGGACCGTGCATCATTAGGCTTGGCTAGCAAACGGAAGTGCAGATCTGAATTCGAGATTCAGTAAATAAATTCAGATCCTTCATAATGCAGTTGACTCTCAGTAGCATCCGTCCTTAGTCTCGTTTATAACTTCGTTGGCCGAGAACAGCCATCCGACCTTTCGAGACTAGTAATTTCCTCCTATGCACTTGATCCAGAATTCGGAATCTTGCTCAGTCTACTTGGTTCTCTCTCTCGCTCCCTGACCTCCGTCTCCTGCGGGGGATCAGCCCCGTTCTTCGTGCCAATCATTCGGACTCTCTTTCTCTCCGCGAAGATTCTTCGCAGATTCCTGCGTCACCCACTCTGAATCCGTGCTGCTTGCTTCCTGGCAATTTTGTCGCATCGTCTTCGTTGGTATCAATCAAGCCGATTTCCAGCGGGTGAATTTGGAAGACATCCTACCCTCCGTTTTTGCTTTGCCTTGAACATCTCTCCTTTCTCTCGTTCTTTCCTCCTGGTGAAATCAGGACGAGTCGCAGCGCGTGCATCTGGAGCATGAGTCTATGAAGGAGAAGATCAAGGAGAATCAGGAGAAGATTAAACTCAACAAGCAGCTGCCATACCTTGTTGGAAACGTCGTCGAGGTGAGCTGCTTCGGCCGGCTTGTTGCTCGCATGTGACCACGTCAGCATACGTCAGCATGTGAGCTTTCTGTAGCAGCAATCATCCTGTGCGTTCGTTGAACCTTTTGACATCTTTAAGTTCCAGTGTTGTTGGACTTCAATTCCACAAGGGATTCATGTTTGGCGCTCTTTCCCTCTCCTGCTCCACTCCTGCTCTTCTTCCCCACATTCCCCGCGTCCCCTTCTCCCGTCCCCTCGCCCTTCCCCTTGCCCCCGCCCCCTACCCCTTCCCCTTCCCCCCGTCCCCTCCCCCCCCCCCCCCTCGGCCCTCAGGTGCTAGACGTGAATCCCGAGGACGAAAGTCCCGAGGACGGCGCGAATCTGGACCTGGATTCTCTACGCAAGGGCAAGTGCGTGGTGCTCAAGACGTCCACGCGCCAAACCATCTTCCTGCCCGTCGTGGGCCTCGTGGACGCGGACGCGCTGAAGCCGGGCGACCTGGTGGGCGTGAACAAGGACAGCTACCTCATTCTTGACACGCTGCCTGCTGAGTATGACTCGCGTGTGAAGGCCATGGAGGTGGACGAGAAGCCGACCGAAGATTACAGTGATATCGGAGGGCTGGACAAGCAGGTATGTGGGTTGTAGCAGGCGCTGTGATTCTAGCAGTGAGCAGCGGTTGCAGCAGGTGTGTGGGGCTGGCTCGTGGACGCGGAGGCGCTGAAGCCGGGCGACCTGGTGGGCGTCAACAAGGACAGCTACCTCATTCTTGACACGCTGCCGCTGAGTATGACTCGCGCGTGAAGGCCATGGAGGTGGATGAGAAGCCCACGGAGGATTACAGCGACATTGGTGGGCTGGACAAGCAGGTATGTGGGTGCAGATTGTGAGAGCATGTGTGTGCCCCTCTCAGGCGTATGACTCGCGCGTGAAGGCCATGGAGGTGGACGAGAAGCCGACGGAGGATTACAGTGACATTGGCGGGCTGGACAAGCAGGTGTGCGCTGTGAGGTCTTGCAGAGATGAGTTGTGGGTGGGGCTGTAGCTGAGTATGACTCACGCGTGAAGCGGTGGTGCTGCCCACGATACACAAGGAGCGGTTCGCGTCATTAGGCATCAAGCCGTTCTCGTTCACCTCTCTCTCCCTTCTGCACCCCATGTGCAGATTCAAGAGCTGGTGGAGGGAGGCAGTGGTGCTGCCCATGACGCACAAGGAGCGCTTCGCCTCGCTGGGCATCAAGCCCTCTCTCTCCCTTCTCGCCCCCCTCCTTCTGCCCCTCTATCATGTGCCACGTACACAGATTCAAGAGCTCGTGGAAGCGGTGGTGCTGCCCATGACGCACAAGGAGCGGTTTGCCTGGCTGGGCATCAAGCCTCCTCTCTCTTCCTCCTCTCTCCTCCTTCTCTCTCCCCCTGCTATCCTGCACCCCATACACAGATTCAAGAGCTGGTGGAAGCAGTGGTGCTGCCCATGACACACAAGGAGCGGTTTGCCTCTATAGACGTCAAGCCGCCCAAGGGAGTGCTGCTGTACGGCCCTCCCCAGTCAGTCACCTCCCTCCCTGCACTCTCTTTTCCCTTCTTCCCCCTCTCATGTGTCCCATGCGCAGATTCAAGAGATTGTGGAAGCAGTGGTGCTGCCGATGACCCACAAGGAGCGGTTTGCGTCTCTGGGCATCAAGCCGCCCAAGGGAGTGCTGCTGTACGGCCCCCAGCAATCAGCCTCTGGTCCCTGCTCTCCCCCTTCCGCCCCTCGCTCCTGCACCCTTTACACAGATTCAAGAGCTGGTGGAAGCGGTGGTGCTGCCGATGACCCACAAGGAGCGGTTTGCCTCCCTAGGCATCAAGCCGCCCAAGGGAGTGCTGCTGTACGGCCCTCCCCAGTCACCTTCCTTCCTGCCCCCTCTTATCCCGCCCCCCTTTCATGTGCCACACGCACAGATTCAAGAGCTGGTGGAAGCAGTGGTGCTGCCGATGACTCACAAGGAGCGGTTCGCGTCACCAGGCATCAAGCCTCCTCTCTCCCTTCTCACCCCTCTCACTCCCATTCCTATCGTGTGTGTGACCCTGTCCGCAGATTCAAGAGCTAGTCGAAGCGGTGGTGCTGCCAATGACCCACAAGGAGCGGTTTGCCTCCCTAGGCATCAAGCCGCCCAAGGGAGTGCTGCTGTACGGCCCCCCCGGCACCGGCAAGACGCTCATTGCCAGGGCGTGTGCCGCTCAGACCAACGCCACGTTCCTTAAGCTCGCAGGGCCGCAGCTCGTTCAGGTGAGGTGGAGTGCGGTGGGATGCGGTGTACTCCGGTGGGCATGGGTGTGATAGGGGGAATGCTGTTGCTGTACGCCCCTCCCGGCACCGGCAAGACGCTCATTGCCAGGGCGTGTGCCGCTCAGACCAACGCCACGTTCCTTAAGCTCGCAGGGCCGCAGCTCGTTCAGGTGCGGTGGAGTGCAGTGGGAGGCGGTGGGATATGATGTAGTCCGGTGGGCGTGGGCTGTGGTAGGGGTGTAGTAGGGGGAGAGCTGTTGCTGTATGCCCCCCCCTGGCACCGGCAAGACGCTCATTGCCAGGGCGTGTGCCGCTCAGACCAACGCCACGTTTCTTAAGCTCGCAGGGCCGCAGCTCGTGCAGGTGAGGCGCTCATGAGCCGCTACGGGCCTTTGTGGGAGGTGGGGTGATAGGGGGAGTGCTGCTGTACGGCGAACCTGGCATGAGTGCAAGACGCTCATTGCCAGGGCGTGTGCTGCTCAGACCAACGCCACTTTTCTTAAGCTCGCAGGGCCCCAGCTCGTGCAGGTGAGGTGGAGTGCGGTGGGGTATGGTCTAAATCGGTGTGCATGGGGTGTGATAGGGCAAGTGCTGCTGTATGCCCCCCCGGGCACTGGCATGGCAGACCAACGCCACGTTCCTTCAACTCGCTGGGCCGCAGCTCGTGCAAGTGCATGTTGGGGATGGGAGGGGGTGTGATAGGTGGCTAATCATGGGATGGGGCAATGGCTGGGCTGTAAGCAGGTATCTTCCCATTCTTCGTCATCTCCCCACCTCCTTACTCCCCACCGCACAGCAGCCCCATCTCCCCACCCACATCGCTTCCTCCCCGTCTCCCTTCTCCCAGATGTTCATAGGAGATGGTGCAAAGCTGGTGAGGGATGCTTTCCAGCTGGCCAAGGAGAAGTCCCCGTGCATCATTTTCATTGATGAGATTGACGCCATCGGCACCAAGCGCTTCGACAGGTGGGTGGTGGCATTCAGAGCGAGTGAACAGGAGGGCAGTGAGGGTAGGAGGACTGTGAGGGGCTGAGATGAGAGGCAGGCGGGCAGTGAGGGGCTGTGAGGTGGGCAAGGAGAAGTCCCCGTGCATCATCTTTATCGATGAGATTGACGCTATCGGCACCAATCGATTCGACAGGTGGGTGCTGGCATTCAGTGCGGGTGCGGGTGAACAGCAGGCATGTCATGTGAGCTGGCCAAGGAGAAGTCCCCGTGCATCATTTTCATTGATGAGATTGATGCCATCGGCACCAAGCGCTTCGACAGGTGGGTGGTGGCATTCAGAGCGAGTGAACAGGAGGGCAGTGAGGGTAGGAGGACTGTGAGGGGCTGAGATGAGAGGCAGGCGGGCAGTGAGGGGCTGTGAGGTGGGCAAGGAGAAGTCCCCGTGCATCATCTTTATCGATGAGATTGACGCTATCGGCACCAATCGATTCGACAGGTGGGTGCTGGCATTCAGTGCGGGTGCGGGTGAACAGCAGGCATGTCATGTGAGCTGGCCAAGGAGAAGTCCCCGTGCATCATTTTCATTGATGAGATTGATGCCATCGGCACCAAGCGCTTCGACAGGTGGGTGCCGCTTCAAGTGGGTGAAGATGCGGGCAGCGAGACAGGAGGGCAGTGATGGGTAGTGGGGTGCAGTGGGGTGCAGTGCGGTGCAGTGCGGTGCGTTTCAGCTGGCCAGGGGGGAGTCGCCGTGCATCATCTTCATTGACGAGTGGGGATGCCATCGGCACCAAGCGATTTGACAGGTGGGTGAGGAGGCGGCCAGGGAGGGGCTATGATGAGGCAGGCGGCAGTGAGGTGCTGTGAGGTGCTGTGAGGGGTTGTGGGCTGGCCAAGGAGAAGTCGCCGTGCATCATCTTTATCGACGAGATTATGCCATCGGCACCAAGCGCTTCGACAGGTGGGGTGAAGAGGCAGGCGAGAGGGGGTGTGAAGGGCAGTGAGGGGCAGTAAGGGTGCTGTGAACAGGCATGTGCAGTGAGCTGGCCAAGGAGAAGTCGCCGTGCATCATCTTCATTGATGAGATTGACGCCATTGTCCCAAGCTCTTCGACAGGTGGGCAGTACAGGTGTCATGGCATGGTGATACATTAGGTTGTGCTGTTTGGCCCACTTGCTCTGCTCCCATTTCCCTTCTATTCCTCACTCCCTACCCTCTGTTTTTCTCAACTCTGGTCTGCCCATTTTCTTACCATTAAATTTATGCTGGCAGTGTAAGTGTGGTTACTTAGGTCGACATCTGCCAACATGATCGTGAGGTCCAGCGAATTGTGCTAGAGTTTTAGATGGCATTAAATTTCCCACATAAAATTTCTCACATTATCCCCGAACACGTGCAGTGAAGTGAGTGGGGATCGTGAGGTGCAGAGAACGATGCTGGAGCTTCTGAGTCAGCTGGATGGCTTCAGCAGCGATGACAGAATCAAGGTGAGACCGCAAGCCAACTACACATGATGGTTATACATGCTAGCTTCTCTCTCTAGTCAGGTGCCATTCTTGCCTCCTCACCTCCCCACGTCTCCACATCCTCACCATCTTCGCTCCTCTCCCTACACTGACTGGGCCTTCTGCTTTTCTGCCTTATGCCGTAAACCTTCTGTTCATTCACACCCAGAGGTTGACACGAATCTGACAATCTCGTAGGTAGTGGCACCTACCAACTGGGCCAGAATCCTCGACCCGATGCGCTTGGGACGACTCGGCCGCTCCATTCACCCCCCTTCAACCCCATACACCTCCTTACACCCCCCTTCATCCCCCTTCACCCCCCTTCATCCCCCTTCATCCCCCTTCACCCCCCTTCACCCACCTCCACCCCCTTTTTCACCAGGTGGTGACAGCCACCAACCGAGCTGACATCCTGGACCCGGCTCTCATGCGTTCGGGGCAACTCAGACCTTGTTGCCCCTCGTTCCTCTCACTCCCCACCCCATTGACTCCCATTCACTCTGTATCTCCACCACCAGGTTGTGGCAGCCACCAACGGAGCCGACATCCTGGACCCGGCGCTCATGCGCACGTGGCTACTCGGGCCTTTCTACACCCCAGACCACTCACCCTCATTCACCTCCCTTCGCCCCCCTTCTCACCAGGTGGTGGCAGCCACCAACCGAGCTGACATCCTGGACCCGGCTCTCATGCGCTCGGGGCGGCTGGACAGGAAGATTGAGTTCCCTCACCCCACCGAGGAGGCCCGGGCTCGCATCCTGCAGGTGAGGAGATTTTGTGATTTTCCGTTGCACTCTACTGTGCTTGCACGTATATGTGTCATACACTGGTCGTGGGCTCAATGAGTCGTAGAACTCAAGAGAGTATGTATGTGGGAACGACATATGCTCTGTGCTTAACCTTCCTTTTATCCAGTCACATTGCTTTGCAGAAGGTACACATATGCTTGGTTGACAAACTCAAGTAATACTCCTGATGGCATACAGAGACGTTTGGATCTTATCTTATCTTTCTCTGTCCTGCCTCTCCCTTCGACTTTGTCCATCCAAATCCACTCACGGGAGAGAAACATGCACCCGAATGTAAAATCTGAGGAGCTACTGCAGTCGACAGTTTTAGAGTCCTCTCAAACCTCCTATTTGTCTCTGCTTGTCTCTCCCCTCCTGTCAGATCCACTCACGGAAAATGAACGTACACCCGGATGTGAATTTCGAGGAGCTGGCGCGGTCAACAGACGATTTCAACGGAGCTCAACTCAAGGCCGTCTGTGTAGAGGCCGGCATGCTTGCACTGCGCCGCGATGCCACTGAGGTGATTATTATGAACGATGTGGTTTGTTTACGTTTCTTCCGTCACTTATCCTACTTGGCTGATGTCATGTCATCTTATGGGCATGCTTTGCTAACTAGTGGGTCTTGTGTTGATTGCAGGTGACACATGAGGACTTCAATGAAGGAATTATTCAGGTGCAGGCCAAGAAAAAGGCCAGCCTCAACTACTATGCATAAATGGAACACACGTGCTCTTTCAGTTGTTACATAATCCGAAACATCTCAACTTCAGTCTAGTGGTGGATAAGAGGTTCATCTTTACAAAGCACCGTGTTTTCTTTTGTCATGGTAGCGTCGGTCACAGCCCCGCAGTGGCAGTGCATCATATATATGTCAGCGCCATGAGCCTCCTGCCCCATCTACGTGTGCTCAGGTATCGTGAGATGATGACCTTACTATCAAAATGTTATATTGCTTACCTTGTGTAGGCTACAGTGGGGTAGCCCATAAAGGGTATAACTCAATTAGTGTAAGTACTTGTACCTAACTCTTTCATAGTTCATTCATTCTCGTTCAGTAATTCCGACATGGTTTCAGAGCAGGTCCTTCCTTAGGACCGGTTTTTTTTTTTTAGGGCCCACCACAGCGCTGCCCCACTAACTGCCCTACCTGGCGCGTCGCCCTGTTTGCCCGTCGCGCCGCCCTTTGCAGCCCGCGCGCCGCCTTTAGCAGCCCGCGAGCTGCCCCTGCAGCACGCTCGCCGCACCTGCAGCCAGCGCGCCGCCCCTGCAGCCCGCTCGCCGCCCCTAGTAGCCCGTCGCACCGCCCCTGCAGCCTGCTAGCGGCCCGCGCGCCGCCTCTGCAGCCCGCTCGCAGCCCCTACCAGCACGTCGCGCCGCCCCTGCAGCCCGCTCGCGGCCCGCGCGCCGCCTCTGCAGCCCGCTCGCGGCCCGCGCGCCGCCCCTGCAGCCCGCGCGCCGCCCCTGCAGCCCGCTCGCCGCCCCAGCAGCCTGCTCGCCGCCCTCTTGCAGCCCGCGCGCCGCCCCTTGCAGCCCGCTCGCCGCCCCTTGCGGCCCGCTTGCCGCCCCGTGCAGCCCGCTCGCCGCCCCTTGCGGCCCGCTCGCCGCCCCTTGCAGCCCGCTAGCCGCCCCTTGCGGCCCGCTCTCCGCCCCATGCAGCCCGCTCGCCGCCCCTTGCGGCCCGCTTGCCGTCCCTTGCATCCCGCTCGCCGCCCCTTGCGGCCCGCTCGCCGCCCCTTGCAGCCCGCTCGCCGCCCCATACAGCCCGCTTGCCACCCTCTGGCAGCGAGCTCGCCCCCCTTTCTGCTGGCCGCCCAAGCCGTGCGCCACCCTACCCTGCCCTGCGCACTTCCCTCGTGCTCGCGCGACACCCTGTTCTGCCCGCTATGGCTTCTCTCAATGTACTCACGTTCGATACGTGGCTCGACGACTTACAGCTGTACCTACTGAGCGATTCTAGAGACAGCGTTTCGTTGTTTGACCACATGTCTGGAGCCTCTCTCGCCCCTCCCGCCACAGCTGACAGTGCGACTCGCTCACAGTGGCTTACCCGTGACGCTGCTGCTCGCTTAGCCGTTCGCAACCACCTGCCGTTAGCCGAACGCGCTCACTTCGGACAGCACAAGACTGCTAAAGCACTGTATGACGCTGTAGTCGCCGGTTACTCCTCCCCTGCCACTGCTGCTCTAGGCCGTCTCCTACTGCCCTACCTCTTTCCCAAGCTGTCCGCCTTTGCCACGGTAGAGGAACTCGTTTCCCACCTTCGCACTAACGACGCTCGCTACCGCGTTGCCCTTCTAGAAGAGTTCCGTGACAGGAACCCGCCCTCGATGTACATAACTCTCTACTTCATAGTCACCCGCCTCCCTGACTCTCTTCGCGCTGTCAGGGACCACTTTCTCGCACTTGACCCCACAGCCCTCACTGTCAACCTCCTCGAGCAGCACCTCCTTGCACCTGAGACTAGCATAGTCGATGTAGGTGCCGCTCGTGGCACTCCTCGCACGCCCTTCTTTGAGGGGTGTTCCCCCTCCCCCCTTGCCCCCTTTTACGCTCCTGCTGCTGCTGTTGACATCCTTGGTGCTGCGGATGTCAGGGCTGCTTCTGCTGTTAGTGGGAAGCGCCGCAGCAGCAAGGGCAAGGGTGGCAGGGGTGGTGGCGGTGGCAGCGGGGGTGGTAGTGGGGGCAGAAGTGGAGGTGGTGGAGGTAGCAGAGGTGGTGTCAGTGGTGGGAGTGGTGGCGGGAGTGGGGGCTTTGGTGGCGGCGATGGTGGCTGCGGTGGGGGTGGCGGTAGTGGCAGCAGTGGGAGTGGTGGCAGTCGGGTTGGAGCTGTTTCGAGGGGCGGTTCTGGCGGTGGCCAGAGGCAGCAGCAGCAATAGCGTCGGAGCGAGACCCCTTCGCCCTAGCAGCTTCGTGAGTGGTTTGCTCAGCGTGGGGCGTCTCGGGGTAGTGTTAGCTGCTCGTATGACATTCGCACGAGTGACCGTGCTGGTCAGACATGCGGGAAGCCTCACACTCAACACCCCTGCTTCTCCCACCTAGATAACGCTTGGCGCGTAGAGTTTGGTGACGAGGCTGAGCGCCCCCGCTGGGCAGAGCTGCTTAGGTCTGGAGTTGATATCTTTGCTCTTAACTATGATGCTATCCTTGCTGCTATGTATGCCTTGTCTGTTAGTGCTGAGGGTGACTGTTACCTGTGTGTGCCGCCTGACCCAGGTATAGAGGCTACTGCTCTAGGTGCTAGTGAGTCTGCTCTCCCTGAAACTGCGCCTGCTGAGGCCTTGCACACCTTTACACTTGACTCAGGTGCTTCCCGCTGTTTCTTTCGCGACAGTACCGCCCTCACTCCACTCCCTGCACCTGTTCTGGTCAGACTGGCTGACCCCTCGGGGGCCCCAGTTTTTGCCCGTTCCTCCACTGTTCTCCTGTGTCCGGCGGTTTCGTCCGGCTCACTGTCAAGTCTTCACCTCCCCTCGTTCTCTACGAACTTGGTGATTACCGCTGCCCTCCAGGATGCGATGGTCACTACCACCACACCTGGGGGTCAGCAGCGTGTGTCGATCGGCACGTGCACACGGACGGGCCGTCACCTGGCCACGTTCACCCGTCGGCCTGGGTCGAGTCTGTACACACTGACTACTGAGCCTCCTCAGGTAGCTGCGTCTGCTAAGGTGTCCGCGTCAGGTCAGGTAGCACCCCCCTGCTCGTGTCGCCTCCTGTCGCACCAGACTCTCCTGTGGCACCACCACCTTGGTCACCCCTCCCTGCCACGCCTTCGTAGCATGCACACTCGCCTCCTTGATTCTGGTCTTCCCAGGTCTCTGCCTCCCCTCCCGCCCTCGCCTGCCCCGCCCTGCCTTCCTTGCGTCGAGGGGCGGCAGCGCGCCGCTCCTCACTCCTCCTCATTTCCCCCGACGACTGCTCCCCTACAGACTCTCCACATGGACGTGTGGGGCCCAGCCCGCATCAGTGGACAGGGCCGTGAGCGCTACTTTCTGCTGGTTGTTGACAACTACACGCGTTACACCACGGTCTTCCCCTTGCGCAGCAAGGGTGAGGTCCCTGATGTCTTGATCCCTTGGATCCGCGCAGTCCGTCTCCAGCTCCGCGAGCGGTTCCGCCAGGACCTTTCCGTTCTACGTCTGCACTCTGACAGAGGTGGTGAGTTCTCCTCCGACCTCTTGCGGGACTTTTGTTGTGGGGAGGGTATCCTCCAGTCGTTCACGCTTTCGGCCTCCCCGCAGAAAAATGGGATTGCTGAGCGCCGCATTGGCTTAGTCATGGAGGTGGCTCGTACCTCCATGATCCATGCGGCTGCTCCCTATTTTCAGTGGCCGTTTGCGGTCCGGTACGCTGCGCATCAGTTCAACCTCTGGCCCCGTGTCTCCTTGCCGGAGACCTCGCCTACACTGCGTTGGACGGGGAAGGTTGGCAATGCGTCGGTGTTCCGGGTTTGGGGTTCTCGTGCCTTTGTTCGCGATACGTCCGCGGACAAGCTCTCCTCCCACGCTATTCCCTGCGTCTTCCTTGGCTTTCCCCCTAACGCGCCTGGCTGGCAGTTTTACCACCCCACCTCGCGCCGTGTCCTGCCCTCTCAGGACGTCACGTTTGTTGAGGCAGTTCTCTTTTACTGTCTCTTCCCCTTCCGCTCTGCCCCTCTCCCACCCCCGCCACTCTTCCTTGCTCCAGGTCCCCCTCCGGTAGACCCCCTCCTCCCTCAGGGTCCTGCTCCCTCAGGTGTGTCTCAGGTAAATTCACTCCCTAGTACTGTGCCTGTTAAGGTCACTGTAGACTAAGGTGCTGCTAGAGGTGCTGTGTCTGGGGGTGCTGAGCCTGAGGGTGCGGAGCCTGGGGGTGCTGAGCCTAGGGGTACTGCTTCTTCTGGAGGTCCTGCGGGCACCTCGCCACGACTGTCTCCCCAGCCGGAGCCTCTCTCCCCACAGCAGCTGCGCGAGTGGTTTGCTCGGCGCACACACCTTCGGAGTGGAGCTGCCAAAGCTGGAGACTCTGCTGCTGGAGGCAATAGAGCTGGAGGTGCTGGAGCTACTAGTCTTGGAGGTGCTGGAGTTCCTGCTAGATCTAGAGGTCCTGGAGGTGCTAGAGCTGGTGGTCCTGCAGGTGCTCGTACTAGGGGTACTGGAGTTGCCGGGGCTGGTGTAGCTGGAGGAGCTGGAGCTGGAGACCCTGGTGCTGGTGGCGTTGGAGCTGGAGGCACTGGAGCTGTTGACCCTGGAGCTGGGGTACTGTAGCTGCCGGGGCTGGTGGTGTTGGGGGCGCTGGAGCTGGAGGTGCTGGAGCTGGAGGCACTGGAGCTGGAGGCACTGGCGCCGGTGGCGCTGGAGTTGGAGGAGCTGGAGATGTTGACCCTGGAGCTGGAGGTGCTGGCGCTGGGGGTGTTGCGTTTGGCGGTACTGGTGCTGGAGGCACTGTGCAGCGGCGCCCGTTTTTCGTTCCGCCACCACCTTCGTCTCTGCCTCCACCTGACTCGGTCCTTCACCAGGTTCTTAGTCTCCCGTCTTTTACTAGCCTTCCTCCTAGCTTACTGAGTCCACCACCTTGCCAGTCGCAACCACACTTACAGCCAGACTCTCCACTGCCTGCTCCTTTTCCTTACACTGAGCAGACAGACTCTTTTACAGAGCGTAATGAGCATGAGTCTCGTCCTGCCTTGCCTATTCGCGCTGTTCACACTGGTCGTTGGGTTCCTCGTCCGCATCCTCCTCCTGTCCGCGGCACTCACGTTATGGCACTTCGTCCTTCCTCCATTCCACTGCGCGTTCCTCTGCCGCCTCCTCCTGCGTCCTCTCTTCCAGCCGTTCCTGACCCTGAGTCTGACCTAGCTCGTGCTGCCAGTCCTACTATCACTCGTCTTCTCGCCACTGTTGTCGCTGACCCTTCTTTTGAGTCCACAACTGCGTCTGCCCTAGTTGCTAAGCTTGTTGACTTTGCTGCTGCCTATCGTCTCCACAACGCCACTAGTCTTGTTGCTGAGTCTGAGTCTGACTGTCCTCCGTCCGTCGGGGGTGAGTGTGCCCTTGGCATGGACGTCCTTGAGGACAGGCAGGAGGAATTTGAGTGCCTTGCAGCTACTGTACCTCATCTCCTGGCCATGCTGCTTGCCCCTGAGGGAGACCCGGATGCACCAGACATCCCGACCCCGCGCTCTTACGCAGAGGCGATTACGGGTCCCTACTCCTCTCAGTGGCAGACAGCCATGGACGCAGAGATGGCATCCTGGAAGTCCACAGGCACCTACGTCGACGCAGTTCCCCCTTCTGGGGCGAACATAGTCGATGGCATGTGAATTTTCAGGGTGAAGCGGCCGCCGTATTCTCCGCCTGTCTTCAAGGCTCGTTACGTTGCACAAGGCTTCAGTCAGCGACAGGGAGTTGACTTCTTCCAGACCTTCTCCCCTACCCCAAAGATGACCACTCTTCGGGTGTTGCTGCACGTCGCAGCTCAGCGTGACTACGAGCTGCACTCTCTTGACTTCAGCACAGCTTTCTTGCAGGGCAGCCTGCACGAGGAGATCTGGCTGCGTCGCCCACCTGGCTTCACTGGGTCGTTTTTTGTAGGTACCCAGTGGAGCCTCCGGCGGCCAGTCTACGGTCTCCGCCAGGCGCCTCGCGAGTGGCACGACACACTGAGGACGACGCTTGCGGCTCTTGGGTTTGCTCCTTCTACTTCTGACCCGTCGCTGTTTCTACGCATCGACACTTCGCTGCTGCCGTTCTACGTCCTCGTGTACGTCGATGACTTGGTCTTTGCCACTGCTGACACTGAGGCACTGGCCCTTGTGAAGTCGGAGCTGCAGAAGAGACACACATGCACTGACCTGGGTGAGCTGCGCAGCTATCTTGGCTTGCAGATCACTCGGGATAGAGCACGGTGCACCATCACCCTGACTCAGTCACACATGGTGCACCAGGTCCTTCAGCGCTTCGGCTTCCGGTGCTCCTCGCCACAGTCCACTCCTCTGCCTACCGGTCAATCGCCCTCAGCTCCACCTTCGGACGAGTCCGTAGAGCCGAGTGGCTCATATCCAAAGCTTGTGGGCTGCCTCATATACCTGATGACCTGCAGTCGACCTGGCCTACCCTTTTAGCATCATGGCATGCTATGTTGTGCCTGGCAGACACCGACCAAAGCACTGGGAGGCCGCTAAGAGGGTGTTGCGCTACTTGTGCTGTACGTCGGGCATGGGGCTCATGCTTCGAGGACGGGGTCCAGTTGTCCTCACTAGACACGCAGACGCTTCTTGGGTTGACGAATTGGCTACGCAGCGGTCGTCACAGGGTTACACTTTCAGCCTTGGCTCCGGCTATGTTTCTTGGCGGTCTACCCGCTCGTCTTCAGTTCTCAGTTCCAGGTGTGAGGCTGAGATCTACGCAAGGGCCATGGCTGCACAGGAGTTACGCTGGCTCACCTACCTGCTGACCGAATTGGGAGAGCAGCCTCGTTCTTCTCCAGTGCTGTACGTAGACAACAAGGCCATGATTGCCTTGTGTCAGGAGCACAGACTGGAGCACAGAACGAAGCACATTGCTCTGCGTTACTTCCTTCCTCGGGAGTTGCAGCAGTGTGGTCAGCTTCGTCTTGCTTACGTGGCCACTCGGGCCAACACTGCTGATATATTCACGAAGGTACTTCTGCTTGGTGATCATCAGCGTTGCTGTACTGTTTTAGGCCTTGTACCTACTTTGCCTCAATTGCTCACTGCGTGACTTTGCTTGTACTTTGATCTATATATATACCTGCATGCTTACACTTGCTAGGGTATGATCACTGTACTGTTTGTTCTATTTTATATAACTCTGCATGTGAAGTGGCCTTGTGACAATTTGCTTGTGCTCGGAATGTGTGGTGACTTCGTGATCCACCTTGAGCTTGCTTTGCTTACCGCGACCGTCAACATCACGTACAGTAGCAGCCGTTGTTTGGCCGTAAGGGCCAACTGCGCACAGCCCAGGTTTTCTCGAAAATTGACCTTCGAGGAGGCTACCACCAGATCCGAGTCAACCCACCCGACTGCCCGAAAACTACTTTCCAAACACGCTATGGATCCTTTGAATACACCGTAATGCCTTTCGGACTGACCAACGCCCCCGCAACCTTTCAAATGACCATGAACGAAGCCTTCCGCCCGCTTTTAGATAAGTGCGTCATCGTGTACCTCGACGACATACTGATTTACAGCCCAGACAGAGCACAGCACCTACAGGACATTGAGGCAGTTTTTAAAATACTAAGTGAGAACCGCCTACTGACGAAAGCATCCAAGTGTGAGTTTTTACAGGACAGACAGGAGTTTCTGGGACACATTATTTCAGCTGAAGGAGTGGAAATAGACCTGAAGAAGATCGCGACGATTCAAGCATGGCACGCGCCGATAAACTTGACCGAATTGCAGAGCTTTTTGGGGTTCGTCAACTACGTGCGCCGGTCCGTCCCCGACATGGCGAAGTTGACTGCTCCGTTGACCGACTTGCTGAGGAAGGGGGTTGAGTGCACATGGGGGGAGAAAGAGCAAGCTGCCTTCTCGGCCCTCAAGCAAATTTTGTGCTCGCCGCCCGTGCTTCACATCGCAGATCCGCACCGTTCGTTCGGACTCGTCACCGACGCAAGCGACATCGCCGTGGGAGCAGTATTGTTGCAGGATTTCGGGAACGGCCTCCAGCCAATCGTGTATGAGTCCCACAAACTTCACCCGCCCGAGCGCAACTACCCAATACACGACCGCGAAATGCTGGCGACCGTGCACGCGTTCAAAGTGTGGCGATGCTACCTCACCGGAGCAGACGTGACAGTACGGACAGATCACCGTTCAATACAGTACCTCCGCGCCCAACCGAATCTCAACCCGCGAGTGATCCGCTGGTTGGACTATCTGGAGTCCAACTTCCACTACACACTTACGTAAAAAAAAAGGCGCATCAAACATCGCCGACGCACCCACACGTCCTACCGCCCAACTCCACACCATCCTACTCGCCCAAACCAACCCACTGGTAACAGGCCTATTCACCCACGGATACAGTACCGACCCATATTTCACGACCGGAAATTCATAGGAACTAGCACAAGCTAAGGGAGTCTATTACGTAAAAACAGGCACCAACCGCATTTGGGTACCCGCGTACTCACTACTCAGAGAACTGTTACTGCAAGAGGCACACGACGGGATTACCTCAGGCCACTTCGGGGTAGAAAAAACGCGACAGCAACTGCATCGGTATTACTACTAGCCGGAGCTATTGACCGACATACAGCACCACGTGGGCTCGTTTCCTACGTGTTAGGTGATGAAGAGCTCGCGAAAAAGAAAGGCGGGTCAATTGCAGCCGATTCCACCGCCCGAGCGCGCCTAGCAGCAGGATACCATGGATTTCGTCACTGGGTTACCTTCGAACCTTGGGGGTAACGATGCGGTTATGGTCGTTGTTGACAGACTAACGAAAATGGCTCACTTCGCTCTGTGCAAGAAAGCGATCTCAGCCGAAGAAACCGCTCGCCTGTTTGTTAGAATAATTGCGAGAATGACGAGAATGATGGACTAGGAAAGGGGGGAGGGGTACAAGTACAATGTCGAGAGACTTGTGTACTCCCTAAGGCTAAACCCACTATAGCCTAGACAACTGTAAACACAGAAACTAAGCCTAGATATAACTAAGCATATATGTTTGACACACCCCCATAGGCAAAGTGGGGGATAGCCAGAACAAGTAATGGTCACAAGACCAGTCAAGAGAAGAAGCAAAGCAAAGC